GAAACCTAAGTTGTGTGTTAAAAAATGTTTTATCAAACTCCTTTCTTTACCTTGGTCATTGTAATGTTCTCTATTTTATTTTTATTTGACCACTTGAAATCATTCCACTTCACTTCGTCTTCGCCGTCTTTACTGTTATTATCATCGTACTCCTAATTTTTTAGACGACGCTTGACCTTCAATTTTAAAATCTTTAAACAGTTCACATATTAAATAATCTTTACAAGTTGGGATGCAAACGAAGGATAAGCTGGATAGTTTTGCCATAAATACGCATTTATCAGTCCAACAGCACCTGCGGGTACAGTTATTTTGAGGCGTGCCACTAGACAGCCTAGCCAACGTGTTAGTGAACACTTCCCATCGTGGTTTGGCGAAGGACAGACAAAATCACTCCGTAGCTCCATTTTGTCACATTTAGTTGATAGTGATCATGCAGTGGAGAAAACGAAAGCTTCCAAGATAATTCATTTCATCCCACTGAATCTTCGCAATCGACTTCGTATTCGTCTGCTGCACACAGTCAAGGCTATAAGCATTCAAACTATTAAGGCTAAACTATGCTCATTCAAAAGAAGTTCGTACAGCCATTATCCCTTCATTAGTCAATTAAGACCTAACCAACTGATGATGCTAGCACCACTCCTAACTTATATTTTCAACCCCTCTCTTATCACCCCTTAATCTCATCATACCTTCATCAAAGCTTATTTTACTTACTTCCCTTACAATCTAGCATTACGTAATCGGTTCGTTTGTTTTTCTTAACCTTTATTGACTACTTCTGCCTGAGCATTTGTTTGTCTAATCACGCTGTTTTTCGTTGTTCTTGATATCACAGATCGCCTCACTTTTCATCCTTGTTGCTGATAGACCCATTACTATTATTACCACTATCATTACTAGTTGCACAATTTTATTATCCTATTGACGAAACACCATGATTGGTTTATATTGGAATTTTTATTTGTAAAATTACGAGATCTAATTGAAAAAAGAATATTGTTCGCTTAAATGTGTTGTTCCACATCATTTTAATCATCTTTATTCTTATCATATTTATACTGACTAAGCAATTTCTCGTGCCACTTAGTGCCTTTTTCCGTAGTATAAATACGACCGTACAGCTTGAAAAGGAAGTCGTTGTACAGAGGTGTTTCTTCTTTTAAGAACACCTATGTGAAATCTAGTAAATTATTTAAAAAGTTGTAATTCCTAAATAACATACACCACTACAGGTGAGTCAACATTTGCCACTCGAGGGAATCAGGGAAACCAGGAATTTTAGTCAACTGCATACAAATCTCATAACTACAACTAAAACAATTTAGCGGAAACGCCTAATAGATCCACTTGATATTTGGTTTCTGTAACCAGACTATTTTGTTTGAAGTGAATCTACAACAAGATATAAGCTACTTATACTTTAATCTTCAGCACATCTCAGTACAATTCAGGTAAGTTGAAGAGAGATGCTCTATAGGTGAATAAATAAACCCTTTTTAGGGTTGATTGTAAAATCTCACAAGCCTCAGTCTTATACAAACAGTTCCTTGTTGAACTTACTTCCAAGAAGTTATTTTAGTCCTGGGAATTCCGAATGTGATTACTCGACTATGTTAACAGACAACCTGTTATGAGGGGACCAGTGGAGGACATCACATTCCAGACTCTAGAATGGAACTCTGCTGGGAAGTGACGAGTTGGGAAAATGAAGATAACATGAAGGTGATCATGTGGAGAGCAAACGAGAGCTTATTGACGACTGTTTAGCCAGCCTAAAAGTGCTGCAGAGAACAGGGTGAAATGGAGATGTTCTTCTGAAACTCTATGTATTCCTCTCGGAACCAATAGGAGCATTATTAATAATGATAATGTGGTAATTGGGTAATGGTTGGTTGAAATTTTTCCATGGAAAGGTTACCTCAACACGTACAGTGATTTTACCCGACAGTATCCACTAGGTATTTAGTGGAGAATTCCTAATATATATATATTCCAAATTAAATCAGCCTAAGATCATAACTCCTTTACATTTGAAATGATTAAAGCCAACAGTAAGATGTCATGCTATTTTTTACAAGATCATAGACTGGGTTTTTTAACTTACTCTCATTTACGTTATTGGAGCCAAAATGAAATAAATACAGAGCTTACTCATAAACAAGTGATATGATAAAATCTTACATTTTTAGCTCCAAAGATACTCTTTTCAGGGTCGTAAAGTTTTTACCTAGAAACATTCTTAGATCTTTTGTACTATAAGGACTTAGAAAATAAAAATTAGTTATAGAAGTGTTCCTCTGAGACACTAAAAATCCAAGATGCCTAAGTAGTTTGATTATTTATTAAAAGCTTTAGTGGATTTTCGATAATCTCAAATTTAACTTACCATCTGTATTAGACGAAGATGTTCAAACCGTTGGTCACATCCCTATTTTCTGGCTTCACTACCGACTAGTAAACTAGGAGAGGTATGAGTAATGCATCGACTGGGAATCGAACCCAGACTACGTGCGTAGTTGGTGAATTTTCTATCACTGGATTACTTACTGTCGAAATATACTTGGGTATTTTTATAACAAGATTTTCATTAGGCTAAACATGTGTGGCACATTTACCCTTGACCATAGTTAACGGTAACAAATGCACTTCAAACCTCTGGTAAATAAAATAACTAATGTACGAGGTAATTGCTGAAACAAAATAGAAAATAATGTCTAGAAAACTATAAGTTTTAAAGTTTTTTCACTATAAAACCATTCCAGCCACCATTAATCCGTGCTTGCCTCAAGCATAGGAGAGTTTAAAATGAATACGGTTTCTGGATTCAATTCCTGACCCAGAAGGTTATCTCATGAGATTGTGTAAAACACTTTTATGAAATGATGGATGTTGAAGTTTATGCAAGATACTCAAGTACGCACCCTGTGACTTCCAAGATACCTGTCCTATGGATACCAGAATTAAGTCAAAACGACAAGTTGAAGTTCAAAATACGAGACATATTTTGGGGTCAGAAATGCACTGTAATGATGACTGCTCAACCAGCTAGGAATTGTGCACCAACGACCTCTGGAAAGTCCCTAGGCTGTGATTACATTAGGCCATCTCTTCTGTAACAGATTCCTGAAGCCGTCTGCAGGCCAATATGCGACCTATCTCAACATTCCATGGATTCAGGAATACTACCAAAGGAGTAGGAGAGAGCCATCCTTTCTCCTGCCGTGGGAATCCGAAAAACACCACGACTTACAGACTAACTGTGCTACTCCCAGTGCTATCAAAAGTACTGGAAAATCTGACCGATCATCACAGCAGGCAACATCTCGATAGGACTAACATACTCAATGAAGCGCAACATAGTTTCAGGAGAGGTAGATCTTGTGTGACAAACCTATTGTCAGATTGGAGTGACTGGACATTACACCGGAAGATGAATGTTCTACTCCATCTGATCTTCCTCGACTTTGCAAAGGCATCTGATACGGTTCAACCTGACCCTTTTTACACAAAATAAGTCAGGTGGATATTGATGGCCCGCCTCTGTCGTGGCCGGTGGACTAGCTAGACGGAACGGAGTTCTGCATCAAAGTCAGTCCTGTCTGGTCATCCTGGTACAGTTGACATCAAGAGTATCACAGGGTTCTACACTAGGCAATTGAGGTTTTTGATTTTTATAAACTGCCCGGCTCTTATTTATTCTGACGACTTAAAGAGTAGTAAAGCGCTCGGAAAACTTAGCTAGACCTAAAGATTCTGGAAGACTGGAGGTATGACTTTTAACTTGAAAAACTGCGAGTAATGCAACTCTACAGGTGTAGGTCTCAAAATGCAAGTTACATTTGCATAACGAAAAGTTTTCCAGTATATAGTCAGAGCTCAACGTAGGTCTAGTCCTAATTTACACAAATATGAATGACACGGCTGATTTAGGGAGGGTTTGTGCCGTTAAACAATTTACACATGGATAGTTAGTTGATCACTCCTGAGCTTTTTCTAAGGTTGGATAAAACATATGTTAGACACACACTGAAGTACACAATTTCATTGCCCCCCTGTTACTCGAAATGGAAGCCAGTCTCTTGGAGAAAGCCCATAGACAAGATGGGGGGGGGGTCTTTTGAAATCAACTATATGATGAAAGACTGAAGAAATAGGGTCTTCACACTTAGCTACTGTCGGCTTAAAGGTGATCTAATTGTTGACTATAAGATTACAAATGATCAGAATTCCACAAGCAAAGGTATTCTGCTATTAAGTATGGGCTTCCTCGTAAGAATCCACGAAGACGAGAGCTAAGACTCTAGTTGGGACCCATATCTTCACTCTTGGAGTTTTTCACCCTTTAAAATCTTAGCCAGATGTAGCTACCGCACTGTCCATGGAAGGGCTGGACAATTATGCGTCCAAACGTCCTCTCCCCTTAAAACTGACACATAGACTTAACAACACCTTAGACTTAACAAAGGCTAAGACAGTCAAGTGGCGGGATGCACTACTTAGAAGTTTATCGAAGTCGAGGTACCTTCACCTTACAGCCGAGAAGCGAGCACAGAGAAGTCAGTTTGGTTTACACTAGCTCATAAAACCGACGTCGCATAATAGACCGAATGTGACACAACATTGTGCCGAATGGCGTGGATGTTTGACATTGTATCTTCAGCTTAATGATTCGACCTAAACAATGAAGGTCAGCACCCAATGTCGAGTTAAGAATGCTATACACAAATAATTTTGGAAAATTGTTTAACACTACACACTTGATTCAAGAAGCTCACACAAAGGAGTATATTCCAATTATTTTAAGCTTGTATCTTTATAGATCACCGCACACATTTTCTTTCAAAGAACACTTCAAAATTTGGTTGGATAACTATGCTAGTTAGGTAACCAGAAGTTAAAGCAATGTGTAGAAAAGCCTTGCACAGTCATCAGTTCACGATTCGTTGACGAGAGGATTCTGAGTTGATTCGTCGGTGTCATTTAAAATACACAAACTCGAAATCATACTTTATTTCAGGCTGAGAGAATATCACAAATACATACATATAGAAAGCTGTTATTGGCTAAACAGATATACAGGCGAATGTAACCAAAACCATCACAGTAAGGATAGCTTCACAAAGATATAGTACTAACAGAATAGAAGTTAACACTAAATCAATATAAAATGTATACGACTGCCACAAAATGAGCCATACGCAAAGAACAACATTTGGAAAGAATAGAAAAAGAGAAACAGCAGCGCCCACCAAGTCCTCCTTCAAGTTAGAAACATTCAGATAAAATAATCGTAAAGATTCAGAAAGGATAAAAAATATGAATAACGATACCTCACTAGCGAAATAGCCTTAGAGTATGGAAGTACAACCCCCTTCCAAACAAATGTTAAAATTTCCAAGACCGAAAATGGTATAACATAGTAAATATTGCAAAGCAGGAAAACTTGAAGGACAGAAGATGACCTTGCGGATCTGACTTTTGAGACTTTGTCAGGATCATTATCTTTGGTCAGCATTTAAAATAGTGCAGCGTTTTATAGCATTACAAACAAATCTGTTGTCAACGTGAAAACAATATGATTTAGGTAAACAAATTATAATAATTTGTGGTAGAAACAATAAATCTGTGAAATTATTGTGACTTTATAATTCACAATAAACCCGCTAAATTTAGTTTTAACGACACAATGGCCAGTCAGGTTTGCCCAGTTTTTATTTCCCCCTTCTTATTTCCAGCGATCAGTCTAGTGTTTAATAAGTGTTAGTTAGACCTCACTATATGGCTTTGGTCAACTTTATCACTGGCCTGCATATTGAGATACTAGTGTGGGAATTACCCGTCTAATTTGTTAGTATTCCCCACTATTTAAATCTAATTGTCTTCCTGTGTGTTGAAGATAACGGATTCGTTTTCGAAGTAGTAATTTGCTATTCGCACTACTATAGTTGGTCATGCATGTATTGAAATGTCACAGATCTGTTCGGGGCAGTCGTAGGGGCTTTGCCCCACGTTCTGCAATGCACCCGGAGAAAATGCTGGCTGAGGAGCCACGTCCAGCTGAGTCAAGGAACTCATTGTAGTCGAAATGAAGTCATCTGTTTCACAGTGAGATGCGATATTCTAAACCTAAGTTATTGTCTTGTCTTCAACTTTTGATTCGAAACGGCTTAAATTTACACAAGTTTTATCGATATATGCGGGTCTGTAAATCTTTAAGTTTTTGTTGTTTAAAGAGTGATCCCACACAGCATAGTTCTGCTTGGTAATTAAGCAGATAAATAACTGGCCGTAATTCTCGCCGAGCTATTACTATTAAGTGTTATCATACAGATGTGAAGTGGTAAATTATTAAGTGTGACGTTACAATCAAGATTAGGATAAGTTGCATGTGTGTGCCACTTCTTCAGATTGATTCTTTTCAGATGTGACAAATAAGCAATATACTCCCCTAAAATCAACAATAATGAACTACATTTGTCGTTAGGAGTTTCCATTTTGCCATATTTTGCTTCGAGTGGATCCTACCTCCAGTAATACCACGTTAGGTAATCGGTGAGTCGCTATAAATACAACAGGATCCAAATACCTTAAGCTACAACAGCGTGCGATCTCCTCAGAACTTCTCTATGTAGAACTCAACGCTTAAATTCTACACTTCACATATTGCCTTCATCAAAACTCTACAAAGGCAACAGCTGTCAAGTATTCTTTACCATTCTTCACAAATATGGAGTAGATTTAGATTATAAGGATAGAAGGCTCTTGTTGCTTATGTTAATCCTTGCGATATATATCTCTTCAGAGATCCAGTTTCCCTTTGAAAGCGTTCACCGATGGAGCTGTTACTACTGAATCAAGTAAGGAGTTCCAGTCGTTGACCATTCTGTGAGAGAATCTAAATCCCATGCGTATTTTGTTCGCTCTTGATTTGAACACCTTGTTGTGGCGACCTCGTAAATGTATCCTAGAGGGAGAGAAAAGGTTTGTAAGGTCACTCTTAAGTATATGGTAGGCTAAAATTAAGTCACCCTTCTTCCTTCATTATGATAATGGGAACAGATTTAAATGCTCCATCTATTATCTTAAGGAAGGTGTGAGATACCATTAACTAATATGGTTCCTACCTTCTGTACTCTTTCCAGGATATGTGCCTCCTTATTTTAGCATAGACTCACCGATTGTATGCAGTATTCTAGATGAGCTCGGACATATGTTGCATAGAGTACTTGGAACATACCCTCCTCTAATCGTTTGAAAGCCATTCAAAAAGCCTTAGATGCGGCTTGATTACAATTTGCCGATATTTTTAAGTCATGGCTTACAATATTTCCTAAGTCCTTTTGTCCCCTAACATCTGGCAGTTCTGTGTCCCCCAGGGAGTACGACGTGTAAGACTTCTGACCTAGGTGCATTACTGCGCTTTTCTTGGAATTAAATTCCAGACTCCAAAGGGTAGTCCATTCAGCTAATTTATCTAGATCCTTTTGTAGTACTAACTTATCATCGTTAGTACTTACGGTTTTTTATCGTATCTTAATATCGTCCGCAAGTAGTAAGGAAAATGAGGTAAAAATTTTTGGCACTTCATTTACGTATAACAGGAATAGCAGGGAGCCAAGTACAATTCTCTGAGGTACTGCACTCAGTACTGCTTTCCAACCTAACAGAACACCATTAACATTTACCTTCTGCCTTCTGTTCATCAGGTAGTCGCTAAACCACTCACATTGACTTTAGTCTAATCCAAAACATTTAAGTCTACTAAGAAGACCTAAATAGGATATCCTATCGAATCCTCTACTAAAATCGATAAAGGCAACCTCCAGTAGATGGTTCTTATCCCTGACCTCGACCCAATCTTCCCTAGCTAACAGTAAGTTTTTCAAGCAGGATCGTCCTGGTAGGAATCCATGCTGTTCCACTGCCACTAAGCCATGTTTCTCCATATGAGCTAAGAGCTGGTCCCTTATGAGTGTTTCTAACACCTTTGCTATAATGCAGGTCAGACTTACAGGCCGGTAGTTAGATACTAACTTCCTGTTCCCGTCTTTGAAGATGGGGTTTATAAAGCATCTTTCCAGTCCCTGAGTAGCCTAGCCTGGGTCAAAGACATTTGAAAAATGTCTCCGTAAGTGGAATGTATATTATATCCACCAAGGAGATTAGCAGTCTAGGGTGAAGCCTATCAGGTGCAGGTGATTTATCTGGCTTCACCTTAGTAGATTGAAAACCACACAAATGTAGAGCAAAAAGATAAGTACATAAAATATTTACTAAATATGAGAGTTTATTAGGAGTAAGCGCATCTGCGTCATTAAAAACGATTTTAAGCCATGTCAATAACAGTCTCATACCATTGGTTCTAAGCGTTTCAAGGAACCCAGCCAGTTAGTTTATGACTCCATACAAACTTATTCTGTGCATCGGTGGTATAGCGGTTAGGACGCTCGCCGACCATACACATAGTCCGGAGTTCGATCCCCGGCCGACGCACTTCTTTACCTTGCTGAGCCAGAAATAATGCTGGTAAAGAGGAAAGGTCGGGCATGAGGCTAGCAACCCCATCCTTTAAAAATAAACACCACTGCTACAGAAACTTCAAGCCACCAGCTTGAAGCTCTATGTTCCACTGGGAACGCAAAGGAATTAAATAATAGTAATACAAACTTATTCGCACTTTGCAACTTACACGGTGCAAGTAAAAAATTTTATGTTTCCTTTAGAAACGAATTATTCAGATTACAGCATATGTGACCTAACTGATACAATAAATGGTAATCACGAAAGTATGCATGATGCTATGTGCTACTGATTGGTTGATGTGAACAGCTGCACACCAGTCACATCAATCAGGAGTGTTTGCTAACCGGGTCGAAGTGATCTAAACACCGAATGGTTGTTTCGCTCGTGTGAGCCAGAACTTGTCAATGGTGTACCCAGTTTGACTCAGCTAAAAAAGCCGAATCAGTTCCAACCACTTGATTTCTGGATGGTTACTAGGGCAGACTAGTAATACGCTGAATCGGATTTTTAGTTTCCCTACTTGACTCAAATTGGCGACCAAAGACTTCATGAATTAACTCCAGATTTTAGTTGGACCGTCTCTAACTCTATTCCAACCTAACATAAGCCTATGTTATCTAACATTGCTCGATAAGAAAGTCGGCAGCGTGATACGCGTGACACGTTTCTTACCCGATTTACCTAGCTACGCACGCCTTCAATATTACCCACCACATTATACCACATAACATAAAAGGTTTATTAGATGGTTGGAGGCAATCAGCAGGAAACCTTGAACCTACGTTTCGTGCTAGTTGTTCCATATTAGTTGGTTAGTTAGTTATTCGTGCTAGCTGGCACTCGTCAGACTAGGCGTATCTGCAACCTTGAAGGAACTGATATCCCTTTTGAGATTCGAACCCGCGTCACCCAGTGCTGCAGTCAGAGACGTTACCACTGAGATATTCGGGCTCGCGATTGACCTCCTGTAGGACTGTAGTAGATATTTTGATTTGACACCAAAAAAGGACTAGATACATCATACTAATGTCCAATCAAAATACCCACTACAGTCCTACAGGAGGTCGATTGCGAGCCCGTATAGCCCAGTGGTAACGTCTCTGACTGCAGGACTGGGTGACGCGGGTTCGAATCTCAGAAGGGACATGTATTCCCTGCTGACTAGTGCCAATTAGCGCGAAACCTAGGTCAAGGAAGGCTTCCTGCCGATTACCTCCAACCACCTAATATCACCAAATCAATGTGCACCGTGATGGCGAGCTATCTAGAATGGTGGCCACATTACATACCTGCCTGATAGAATTTAGTCTGCACCAAAGAAAGGACTAGACACATTACACTAGTTACTAACTGGTGTCCAATCAAAATAAAAGGTTCATTGTGTAAAAGTCAACTGTGCAGACGAATGTACTGAAGTAATAACTGTCATAATTTCCTCGCTATTTAGTAATTCCATCAGCAAGTTCATACTTTTCTCATCCTTGTAACTCAGTGCATGTATGCAAAACAGTTAATATCTATTAGTGTTTATCAATGTTGTTGTTGTTTTTTATCGCCGTAAATATTTAGGTATGCTTTGATTTCACTAAACAATACACTACTTACTCAGGTGGGCCTCAAATATAAGCTACTTTTTTATTATTTTCTTTTTCAGTACAAACTTAGCTCTTCACAACGAGATAGAGTGAAAAAGTTTAATGCTATCACTCGAAGTTCTGACAAGGTTGCGATTGATTGTCTTCAAATGAGCAATTGGAGACTTGAACAGGCTGTAGATTATTTTTACAGACAAAATCCTACTCCTACTGGACCAACTGTGAATGAGGCGAAAATTGATCAACTTTTTCAACGTTATCGGGGTAAGCATTAGTTTACCTAATCAACTACATAGATGCCAGTAATTTTGTACTTCACTAAAATTGATTATCCATTGATAGTGTGTACGTGTAGACAACTTGTTGTATTGAAGTCAATTGCTTTTTTTATAACATCTCTTGGGTTTGGTTATTGCTCTACACTTTTTGGTAATGTGTATGTATATATATGTATTTTGCACACTATTTGCTCTGTCCTCCTTCATGGCTTTAAGACATGGCCATTCATATGGCTCAGAAATTTTTCTTAATGACGCAAATGTAATCACTTTCTGTGATCTCCCAGGTCCACTAAACTCTCATGTTTATCCGCATTACTGTTCTTTCTCCCGCACATTCTTGCTGATTATAGTACTTTTGAATTTCTCATCTCTACTTTTGTGTACTACATGGAGTGTGATAACTTGTATTTCTTCACTTTTTTGCAAACTTCTCAGTTATAACTTAGTCAGTTCAGTAGTATCGTATTGCTGTAATTAAATGTGGCTATCCGAATCCATGGTATGTGTTAAACTAGTCCATGATGTTATGCCTGTACAAGTTTTTCATGGCAAAATGTTTCATCTCATTATTACTCGTGGTTTCCCATTCAAAGGATTCTAACTCCTTCTAGAATACATAGTATTACGTGATGAGTTCACTGTAGCTAGATCTTGTAGAACTAACAAGGTTTCTGGTCGACAAATTACTATACTATACTTATATCAACAACAAATTACTAGTCGAATTAATAATATATGTCGCTGTATCAATGCGTAATATGCTCGCCAGTCGTACACATGGTTCTGCTTCGATTGTCGACCGATGCATTCCCGTGCCTAGCTAATAGTAAGTCCGGAAACAGAGAAAGTTACACGTGAGGTTAACCATCCCACCCGGTAAAAGCAAACAATACTATCTTTATTGAAAATTCGAGGCTTAGAGCTACATAGAGTCCCACTTAGAATGCAAGAAATAAAGAAAAAGTCATTTGAACAAAAGTTCAAAATAAAATCAAAAATTATGAACAATCTATATCTCTTGACCTTAATTCCTGTAAATTTTAAGTCTAATAGCAAACAGGAATTTCTTCAATATATCCTGGTTTCGCTTATCTATTTAGTATAAAAGTAACAACCAATTGTCTGTCTGTTTTCGACATAGAACTGTGCACATATGTGCGGGAGTTCAAGCCTCCACACCGTGTAGCACACAAAGCAAGAGAAGAAAGTACATGAAATGCATAAAAGAGACAGTAAACAGAGGTGTGAGACAAAGGAATAGTAGTAACGAAGAACAAAACAGTTTCATTGGAAATCATAAGTCACAAGGAGTGGATGCATCTATGCTAGTCATGAAGAACGATTTTGAGCCATGTCACCAATTGTTTCCAACCATTGGTTTTTACCGTGGCGAGGACCCCAACCAGGAAGCCAGTCTACACCTCCCTACGTGGCTTAAACTCACTGTTGTGGATTTCATTGACTGGTGCCATGTTTTGGTTTGACCGCCGCTAGCTCTTTTCCAACCTGACCCTATATCAGCTAACATTGCCCGTCAAGGAAGGCGATGACTGAGCATACGTAACACATGTCCTAACCATCTCAGTCTATGTACCTTCACAACCTCGTCGATTGATTTCCCCTGCTTATCTAGCACTCGACGCCTAACCTCAATATTGCTAACCTTATTATACCACTTCACACGGGAGATAGAACTCAGGGACCTATGATCAAAGACAGCTAGCCAGCCTTTTCATGTCTTCCACTCTCAATGGCCAGGTCTCACAGCCATAAAGGAGGACGGAGTGGACTGCTGAGCAGTTGGTCTAAGCCACATAGAAAGGTGTAGACTTCCAGGCTGGGGTCCTCGGGACGGTAAAAATCTATGGTTGGAAACAATTGGTGACATGGCTCAAAATCGTTCTCAGTGGCGCAGATGCATCCACTCCCTGTGACTTATGATCTTCAATGAAACTGTTTTGTATTTCTTTATTACTCCTTTGTCTCACACCTCTGCTCACTGTTTCTATTATGCTTTTCTTGTACTTTCTTCTCTTGCTTCGCGTGCTACACGGAATGTGGCGACTTGAACTCCCGCACATTTGTGCAAAGTTCTATGTCGAAAACAGACAGACACCCGCCCTTTGGTCGATAGTCGATAGTAAACTGCATGAATTAAGACTATCATAAATGAAGTTGATATTATAAGTGATATTGTTCAAGTTGGTCACACAAAGCCTTTAGCAGGATTATTTTGTATACCTCATAGTTTTACCGTGTGCAACAACGTAGCTTTACCCTGTAATCAGATTCAAAGTACAATAATTGGATATTTTTCGTGGATTTGAAATTGTCTAGAAAAATAATATCCGTTTGTTTTGTATATTTTAACATAGATCCTCAATATCCTGATCGAATACTATCCACAGGAATGGAACGATTTCTTATTAATGATTTGCATATTGATCCAGAAAATTTAATTACCCTAGTCCTAGCCTGGAAATTCTCAGCAAAAACTCAAGGAGAATTCACACGGGAAGAATTCTTCCGAGGTTTTCGAGAGTTGGGGTAAGTGTTTTGCTTTGTCTACCAGATCATCCTGTTTTTTTATTCTGATTCGTTGACTCCTTCTTAACAAGCCAATTGGCAATCTTTGTGAAATATTGTGACGAGTAAACCACCTAGCATGTGTGAACAATAAGCCGTAGAAATGTTGTTGGATTTCTAGAACTTCCTGGACTTCGTCACGAATTAACATCAGATAGAAGGTTATTGGAGGCCGCAGGGCCTTGGAAAGTTGTTTCATCCTAGTTTTGACCATTTTAATCCCTCGTAACGCTATGACGCAGCGTCCCAAATTTTTTTTTAGAAACCACGGTTTTGTGACTCTCATCACTAGGTTATTAGTTCATAAGAAATCAGGGCTGTTATAAGTTGTTACTTTGTAAATTTCCTGCAAATTAGTTACTTAGTAACAAGTTATCTCCAAGGCAAAAAGAACTGTATCATCTAACTTATCTTGAAAGACATTTTACATATCGTGGTAGATAGAATTTGATCGTTACATAAGATATCATTCAATTACGAATTCGCATATACAATCTAAACAGTTACAGTGAAAACTATCTTAACTGTTTGTTCTTTCCTTCACGTTCCCAGTGGAACATAGGGCTTCAAGCTAATGGCACGAAGTTTCTGTAGCAGCGTTTATTTTGTAGTATGGGGTTGCTAGCCTCATGCCCGACCTTTCCTCTTCACCAGCATTATTTCTGGCTCAGCGAGGTAAAGGAGTGCGTCGGCCGGGGATCGAACTCCGGACCATGTGTATGGTCGGCGAGCGTCCTAACCGCTATACCACCGACGCACCATCTTAGCTGTAGCAATGACTAATAATAATAAATTGAATCTCTAGGAGTGTGTCAACAGACAATCTTCAGGGATGTCCAGTGTAACGCCTGTAGTTCATCTGTTTTACTCTTGTTCAACTTCCCGTCTTAGTTTACTTTGCCTAATTAGCGAAGACTGCTATTCTTTCAATTCACAGGCGTATGATTCGTTACCTATATACACTAGTATCAAGTTACTCGTTGGGCTACCAATCGGTTTGCTCGCAGTGGTATAATTGGTCCTTGGCGCATTACTAATCATATCGCTCCACGTAACACGTAACCCAATCCAACATCATGACCAATACAAAATCACAAAATTTCATGCCGGATCGGCCGTGGCCCGGATTAACAACGACCGCGCTTCCTGCTGCCGTGTCACAGGGCAGGAGTGATAAGTATGCTACTGAGGCACACCAAACAAAAGAGAACAAACAAAAACAGACCGGCCTCCCCTGGGCTCTGCGGTCACGCAACCAACTTCCACGGTGTGGGCAGCCGGGAAGTAACAATCGCCCTCACAATCCGAAACGAAAACATGAGAGGGCGAACAGAGGCATCTGCGGTCAAAAGCCGCTAATCTGTTCACTTCTAGAAGCTGTATCACCTCCGTAAAGTAAGAAGAAGCGAACTCCTTCTTAGTGTATTTCACTTGAAAGCTGGCACAGCAGTTAGGACTCTCGCTGACCATACACATGGTCCGGGGTTCTTACCCTGCCTACGCACACTTGATATCTGTTAATATAACTGTACAACACTGTGATTTATCAAAATAAAATCTTATCCATAATGGAGTTATACTCTACCACAGTGCCCAAGTTTTATACTTATATCTATGGTCGGCCTGCAGAATTTGGGCTACCGATATCACATGCTGAAAATTCCATACTTGTACCAAAAATACGGTGTGGAATCAAGCTGTAATCAAAATGAAAATATCATGTCTACGCCAAAAGCTACACAAGTTAGTAAATTCTACATGAAGAACACAATATTCAGCGAAGAGACTGTTTTCAACGAATTTATTATCAAGCTGTACAACCGTATGTATATGGATTTTAAGAAATTATATCAGGTGAGGGAATTAGGTCAAAGGTGTGAATACATGAAATAATAATAATAATAGTATGAAATGCAATTAAAATATTTTTAATTATAATCATAGTTAAATGTCAAGTAGCAAAACAATCAATGTCATATATAGAATAATGCATAAGCTGTATACATGTTGGAAAGGGTTGCATTATTATAAGATTAGTAGACGAATATAAAATGTTACATAACATGGTGTGAAATATTATTATTATTATTGTATCCTTTAGTTCCTAGAGGAACATAGGGCTTCAGCTGCGCACCTCCACTGCCTTCTGTTTTCTGCCAACTTTTTCACCCCGCCCCAGGTCTGTCCACATGCTTTCATCTCCTCTTCACATGACCTCCTCCAAGTCACCCTTGGACGACCAACTCGCCGCCTCCCTTTCGGGTTCCACTCGAGGGCTTTTCTAGTGATGTCACTTGATGGTTTCCTCAGAGTATGGCCAATCCATCTCCATTTCTTCCTGCCTATTTGTTTCACAATCGGTTCCTGCTGGGTTGGTTCGCTCCCAGAGATCCCTGTTGCTGATCTTTTCTGGCCATCTGATTTTGAGTAGTATTGAGCGAAGACAACTGTTAATGTAGGTCTGAAGTTTGTTTGAGATGCTCTTCATGACTCGCCAAGTCTCTGATCCGTATAGTAGCACTGAATTTACATTGGAGCTGAAAATCCGGATCTTATTTTTGATGCTGAGTGCTGTTGACCTCCATACAGATTTGAGAGTAATGAAAGCTTGTCTTGCTTTTCCAATTCTGGCTTTGATATCCTCGTCAGTTCCGCCTGTAGTTGAAACGATGCCTCCTAGGTAGGTGAAAAAGGCTGTTTCTTTCAGGTTCCTCCCATTTATGCTGATTGTTGTCTGTTGTTGTTGCTGCTGTTGATGTTGGCTAGGAATCTTCATCACCTCTGTTTTCTCTATGTTCACTTGAAGTCCATCCTATCTTTGATGCTTCTTCCGCCAACTTGTTGCTTTTCACTTGCATATCTTCCAGTTTGTGGGAAATCAGACATATATCATCGGCGAAGTCCAGATCTTCCAAGTCTTTTATGTGAGTCCATTTTATGCCCGTTCCCTCGTTGGTTGTCGTTGTCTGTCGCATTATCCAATCTACTGCAATCAGGAAGATCATTGGTGATAGTTGACAGCCTTGTCTCACTCCCGTCCTCACTTCAAAGGCTTTCGTAAGTTTCCTGTTGTGGATTACTTGGCATGCAGCATTGTCGTATAACTGTTGGATGAGATGTATAATTGTCGATGGGACCCCGTATTAGCGAAGTAGTTGCCAAATCACCTCTCGATCGACGCTGTCGAAGGCCTTTTCAAAGTCGATGATAAGACAGAATTTAGTATTGTAAAAATAAAAATATTAAAAAATTAATAATTTTGGATTTACAATGACAAGTGGGAGAAGTGGAAACAATTCAGAGTGGGAACAGTAATAATAATAATAATCGTAGTAATAAGGGAAAGGTACATAGAATAAATAAATAAATAAATAAACAAAATACTTAAGTAAATAAATGTCTGTCCCTCTACGGCCAAGGCAGAAGTAGGGATTGTGCATACTTCTTTTGTACACAAAGGTGTGGCTTAAAGTCATGAATTGCCAAGGCCTCCACTATCTTTAGAAGTTTGTACCGAAAAAAAAACGTGGCAAGTCAGCATGGATTTGGTAGGTGATCTTAAAATCATGGTCAGGGTTGGCAGAGTGACAGGAGTCTGTCAGGTGTTCTAGAATAAAGCTTCGCACACACTTCTTTTCTCCCTTGTAAAACCATGCTGGAATATGTTCTTGTATCCGTGTTGAAAGCATCCTCTGACTACGGCTAATGTACCTTGCTCCACAAGAGCAGGTGAACTGATGGATGTATATGGAGGCAGCCAGACGGGGAAGCTTATCTTTTACAGAGATGGAGAACAACTTGAGGCTGGTGAACGTCATTTGTAATTTTACTGACTGCTTTAGAGAGACGGTTTTTGAGCATATCTGAAGCCTGATCACCTTTGAATTCCAATGTTCATAAGTAAGGTTTTCTTTGGAACTGAGTCAGTGACCAGTTTAGACTGCTTATCTTTAGTGTTACGGTCGACAAATCGGTTCGTGTAACCGTTTTCTGCAAGCATGGTTTTTAGAAAGTGAATTTCTGAGTCAACGCAATCAGAACTCTCAATGTTCCTTATCCTAAAGCAGAGTGAATGAATTAGTTTCCTTTTCCTGGAGATAGGCACCCAACTATAAAAATTAGTTAGTTGTCTGTTCCATGTACGTTTCTGGTGGATGGATCTTTTGAGAGATCCGTCATTGCGTCTACTAAGGCAAACATCAAGAAACGGAATACTTAGTTCAGATTCATTTTCCATGGTGAATTGTAAGGAAGGATGGCAATTGTTGAAAGCACACAAGGCATCGTCAAAAATTGCGTTATTATCGCAGATAACGAAAGTGTCGCCTACATATCTTTTATAAATGTCGAAATGATCGACATCTCTACACCTTATGTATTATCCTATGTATGACATTGTTTTGCTATTTGACATTTAACTATGATTATAATCACAAATATTTTAATTGCATTTCATACTATTATTATTATTTCATATATTCACACCTTTGACCTAATTCCCTAACCGGATATAACTTCTTTAAAACCTATATATATACGATTGTGCAGCTTGATAATAAATTCGTTGAAAAGAGTCTCTTCGATGAATATTGTTTTCTCAATGCTACAATGGGAATTATTAAATTATACATGAGCCTTTTGTATTCGTACTAAGATTCCATCATCACTCAATCTGTTAGGGCTTATGTAGCTTCCCAAATAAGGGAAATGGTCAACACGCCCAACCATTTCACTTTCTATACTTGAAATAATATTAAGTGTGAACCACTTCTGTGGTACCACCTTGTCTTTGATATGGACAAATCGCTTACCAAACATTGCGGAGATTTCCACACAGTATGTTCAAAAGACTTTGTATTTTGTCAGTGTCTTCGCCTTCCCTCTTTTTTTTATAAACTACGACAATCAAAAACCTACACCAGTCCGTTGGCACTATTTTTGAACGCCATACTCTAGTAAACACCGTAGTTAATCTAGTTAATAATCCGTCACTGCCATCTTTAAATATTTCTGGAGTCCTCCTATCAGGTCCTTCTAGTTTGCCTTGTTTAAGGTTAGAGACAGCTTCTGCAAACTTCGCTACAGTTGGAGAACTGATGACTACATCCTATTGAAGTGGCGATTGGATGAGGCTCCTGAAAATTCTCTTCAACATTCCAGTTGTCTGTTCTCAGAAATAACTAATGTTCCATTCTTCTCAAAGATAATTTCATATACTATAGCTTATTTAGGATGTATCCTGCCTAATAAGTCCTAAACAGTTGATAAGTACTTGTTCCATTTTGACTTTTGTTCGCAGTCAACAAAACAACTGTTATAGCTTACGTTTGCGCCTTGTCACTTTCGGTTCATTCACTGTTGTCGCTTACTGTTTTTTTTATCAGTTGGCGAAATTAATTTCAAAGAAAACTTATTTTTGTCTCTCCTTATATCAGAAATCCATGAATTATTGAACCTCTTTCCTTTTTGTTTTCTTTTCTTTTCTTTTGATTTAGCTGTGATTCTATCGATTCTCTGCGTAATAAACTTCCAAGTCTGTTAAAGGAAGTGGAAGATAAACAAGCCTTTCGTTCTTTGTATCTATTCACCTTTGGTTTCGCTAATTTAGATAAACATGAAAGTAAATCACTGGGTAGGTGAATAAAAAAGAACTCATTAATAAAAATCAAGTTTTAAAATTCTATTCATTATTTTCATCAGTAGATTGTATTTCAGTAGTTAATAGTAATAGTTTGTGCTGTCTCTTTCAGTCGACAGTCTAATTTTGCGGTCCAAATACCTCAAATGATCACACTCCCCTGGATAGTGTTAATATAGCAGACTAATATGATGTGCGTTGGTCGCACAGCGGTTAGGACTTTCGCCGACTATGCGTATGGTCCGGGGTTCGATCCCCTGTCGACGCACACCTGATATCAATGGTCAGTCTGCAAAATTTTGGCTACCGATATCACATGCTGAAAATTCTATACGTGTTCCAAAAAAATACTGTGTGGAATCAAGCTGTAATCAAAAATTAAGAAAATAAAATGTAGTCAGGCGACTTGACCTGAAACGAAAACTTGAGTCATAACAGGAGTCTTCTCATCTGATAGACTTCAATCACCAAAAACTCAGTTTCTAATCAGGTCTTGCAAACCACTTATCACCACAAAATAGAATACCCTCGAGTTTTTGTAAGTGACTAGCGTGAATTAAAACAACTTTTAATGACATATGTAGATACTTAGATTTTAAGTTTTTGTAGGAATATCTCAATTGATTTCAGTGTAGATTTCGTCGGTGGACCAACAGCAGTTATTATTATTAGTATTGTTCCCTTGGGTTCCTTGTGCAACATAGGGCTTCAACTGCACGTCTCCACTTGCTTCTGTCTTCTGCTGTACGGTTCACCTACATCCATGTTAGTCCATACTGTTTCAACTCCTCTTCACACGATCTCCATGTCACTCTTGGACGTCGCACTCACCGCTTCCCTTTCGGCCTGGTTCCACTCAAGCAATGGCCTGACGCGCGCGCGATGTCACCCAGCGACCTCCTCAGCGAGCGAGTGTCCAATTCATCTCCACTTTCTCCTGTATATTTGTTAGTTGACGGTTGGTTCTTGTTTCGTTTGTTCCCATAATTTCGTGTTGGTGATTCTTTCCGGCCCGGCCACCTGATCTTCAGTGCAGATCCAGCGAAGACAGTTGTTGATAATGGTCTGCAACAGGCTGCTGAAAATATTCTTTGTGACCCGCCCGTCAAGTTTCTGATCCGTATAGAAGAACTGATTTTACGTTTGTATTGAAAATCCTACCGAATTTTGTTGTTGATGCTGGCTGAGTGACGAAGATTTCCAGATTGGTTTCAGGTTGATGAATGTGTTTCTCGCCTTCCCGATTCTCACACGATTTGTCACCCTCGTCCGTTCCGACTGCCTGTAGTTGAGACAATGCTCCCTCCCTAGATAAGTGAATGAAGTAACCTCTTTCAAATCCCTCTCGTTGATGGTGATTGACGCTGGATGTTGTTGTTGTTGGCTGCTTATTTACATAATCTCCGTCTTGTCTATGTTTATTCGGAGTCCTGTCTTTGCTGCTTCTTCGACCAGTTTGTCGGTTTTCACTTCGATTTTGTGTGATATCAAACATAAATCATCCATGCGCGAAATCCAGGTCTTCTAGGTTCTTCACGTCCGTCTAGGATATCCCTGTCTTCTCGTTTCCCACTGTCTGACGCATAATCCAGTCAGTCCACCACAATCAGGAATATCATTGGTGATAATAAGCACCCTTGTCTAACTCCTGTGTTTACTCCAAACGCCTCGCTGAGTTTACCGTTGTGGATCACTTGACATGTGTCGTTGTCGTAACCCAACAGCAGTTATCGATCACAAATTGTCAGATGTTAGAAATCACGAGTCATTGAATGTTAGCCCAAATAGTTGGATGGTGGCTCAACGGTTTCGACATCGTAACATGATGTCCCTGAGTTTGATCCACTTGTGTAAAGAAAAACTCTGGACTTCGCGAGTTATTTATGTCTAATGTTGCATAAAACAAAAATCCTCAGGCAAAAGCCAACAAGTTTTCAAAAGAAGCAATGTAAACAGGGCTTCAGGTGAAGACAGAGTTGATGAAGATACCCGACTACTACTACTAACAACAACAACAACATACCAATCACAATCAACGGTTCAAATCAGAGAGGAAGTCACCTCTTTCAATTACCTTGTTAGTATTTTTTTTTCAACTACAGACAGTAAGGATGAAGATGTCAAAGACAGGATCGGTAAAGCAAAATAGTTCGTTGATTGGATGGAGAATTTCATCGTGAGCTGACATCAGTCTGAGAACCACTGGAAAACCTGGGAGTATTGGATAGCTGTTTCGTCCTAGCTTGGTACGTAAATTGGCAGAAGTTAGAATTCATGAGCCATTAGATCAGCTCTCAGTGGTTCAATCGTCTACGAGCCTGCCTTGTAACCAGAAGGTCCTGGATTCGAACCCTACCGGCAGGTGCGTATTGATGAAGAGTCCCAAACTAGGACGAAACAGCTGTCCAGTACTCCCAGGTTTTTCAGTGATTCTCTAACCAATGTCAGCTCATGATGAAATCCTCCAAGCGATCAAACAAAATCCCTACTAAACCAATACTTAAAAAATAGATCTTTATCAGTCTGGAATTCGTATAGAAATCTTTTGAATTCATAACATAACAAACAACAAGATTCGAATTCTCAGCACTAATGTCAAGTTAATCATTGCTTCTGTATAGTTCAGAAACTTGATGCATCAGGAAAAGCATTTTCAACAGCTCTCTGTAGACTTTCATAAACAACTGTCTCCACTCAGTACTGAAGGGTAAATGGCCGAAAACGATTAGCCGCAGTGAACTCTGGCAACAAACAAACCAAGAACATAAGCGTTGGTTTGTAGGGATTTGATTGATTGGTTACAAGACTTCATCATGAGTTGACATTGGTTAGAGAACCATTGGAAAACCTTCAGGGAGTACTGGACAGCTGTTTCGTCCGATTTTGGTACTCTTCTTCAGTACGCACCCACCAAGAACTTATCAATTAATAGATATGCAGCAGAGTATGTAGGTGAAATAGAGATACATGTTGAGTGATATCGCGCGCCAGGTCCTCTAATGAAACTCGAAATGAGAAACGAGTTGGGCGCACGTTCAACAGTGGCACTGAAATCGTGCAAAAAGAACAGAGTGAAATGTTGATGTACTGCTGAAGCCCTATGTTTTACTTGAAACCCAAGAGAATAGTAATTTTAAGCAGGGACCGCAAATTTTTACACATAGTCAAATACACTTTTTTCTATATCTGTATAGTTTCTTTATTTAGTGATCTGTTTCCCTCTATCTTGTGGTCATCTATTACTTATATATTCGTTTTAATCTTTTAGGAAGCTTATTATGTCACACAATCAATTCAAATAAACCCCTAGCAGCCTTAATACCAAACATTATGATTGCATGATTTTTAGTTAAGACTTTAAAGAGCATCAAACCCAGTGACTTGTAGAGACAAGCTTAGAATGAGAGACCTAATTGAAAGCGTGACTCATCGATTGACTTAACCACCTGATTGCTAGTCACTTCTGTATCACAGGTTTAAATTCAACTTGAACAACTAAGTAGTGGTAGTAGAATAAACTCTCTCTTTCTCACACACACACACACCCATTCTAGTTCTGTAGTATTTATCGTATGCACTATTTCAACAGTGATCATCATCTGTCCCCTTATAATTAAGTTCTCTTCTTCTTCTATAACAAGACCATTTTCTCATGTCTTTTTTCTCTCTTATTGTTGTTCATAGTTAGCAGACACTAGAAGCTACTACCGTCAAGTTCACTCTTTATATAAATTAGTCAAGCTATAGTGATTATCTCAATGAGGTATACATGACTTTTTCTATGGAGCTGTGTCTTATCGGTCTAGGTGGTCAACCTCTAACCACTAGGTCACGAGCTTGAACGTAGAGCTTCAGCTGCCGAGGTTGGAGCACCCAGGTAGTATCAACAACCCGCATACTCAATATGTGTAACTCATTGCTAATTGCGTGCTGCAATTTCAACTATCTGTTAAGTAATATTTGCTCTTTTGTTAATTCCTTCGCATAACTCTAAAAGTGAATAAACAACTTTTATTTCTATTCCTCTTATTATATTTATAGTTCTTCAGTACGCTATTCCTTACTGGGAGATTCTTTTACGTGATCGATTTTGTCACTTACAATTGTGGTTTAAATTCCTTCAAGTAAGTCTCAATATATATATATATATATATATAAAAATATATATATATATAATAATATTATATATACATATATATCACAACTCTTTGTATGACAAGTAGTAACAGAAACTGTCTGTTTTCGACATAGAACTTTCCACAAATGTGCGGAAGTTCAAGTCGCCACATTCCGTGTAGCACGCGAAGCAAGAGAAGGAAGTACAAGAAAAGCATAACAGAAACTGGTATTAACCCTGTAAGGCTAACTACGTACGAGAACTTTGTAACTGCTTTTAATTACTTATCTTCACGACTTAATTATGCACAGACTCAGGATCATAAAAGAAGGTAGCAAATCTGCACTACATGACCAGACTTACTTCAGAACTGCTGTAAGGATGTTGTAATAGAGAAGTTAGAAAATAAGTGGCTAAATTAGACAATTGCGCACCTACTATTAATGTACAGCAATAATGATAAAAGAATGAATGTTATTATTCTACTTATGTCACTTTTGTGCATATTTCTCAGCATACTAATGAACTTTCTAAAGTTATCCGTCTTTCTAAAATTCCGTTTCAAAAGACACTCTTAACACCATATATTTTTAATTTCTAATATATGTGTGAGTGTTTTAATAAACTAGCAGAGACTGGTTGTGCTGTCTGCGCATTCACAGTGTTAATGAAACTCCGTCTTCTTTTCACATATCAGTCTGTCATACCCGGTAATTTTCACATAAACTATGTAGGCTTCTTTTTTTAAAGTAAGGCAGGATGAAGACCTCATTCCAGAGTAATAGAACACTTAGTTTCCTGTATCTTCTCAAAGCTTCCGTCTTCACGTAGAGAGGTGAGGGATTAACTTACCTAGATCGGATACATTATGGAGTTTTCATTTCGAATCTCCACTCTGTTAGGTGAACCGTTGTTAATCGATCATAAAACACTATGTTTTAATGGTAAAGTTACACTTCCACACCTATTACTGATTGATACAAATGGTTGCAAGTTATTCAATACAAACCAGGAATACTAGTCAGGTGGAGATGATCTGAACATGTAGTAGTGTGTCGGTGTGCTCATTTTTTTGCCGAGCCTATCAGCTGTTTACTGCAATTAAATGTGTTAGTACAGACTAGTTAGATTCCGGTTAACTAGTGGGGGTGGGGGTAAAGTTGTGATACAGACTGCAAAGTATTCAGTGTGAATTAATCTTTACACAAGCGTCGGTGGCACTGTGGTAGTGTGCTCACCGACCACACATGTGGTCCGGGGTTTGTTCCCCGACCGACACAATCCCTCACCTCGCTAGTCTAGTAATAAGACTGGTGAAGAGGGGAGGCTGGGCATCAGGCTAGCAACCTCATCCCGTAAAAATAAACACCACTGCTACCGAAACTCCAAGCCTCTAGCTTGAAGCCCTATGTTCCAATGGAACATAAAGGAATTATATATAATCCTTACACACGTTGGTAGAAAGCTGGCCATCCTAGCACATGCTCCCATAGTTTGACTCCCGCTTGGCGCACTCCTAACGCTTAGTCTAATTAACTAGTTTAGGAAAGAGGGGACTGTTGGGTGTGTATTATGTACTCGTCACCAAATTATTGTTATGTACTGGTCGAGAATTTAATAGTCCTGACTCAAGAAAGACGGAAATCAGAAGACCACTAGGTTTGCGATGATACTTCTATTTTCCAAACACAAGGAGGATCAATATGTCACACAAGAGTGTGAGAGCAAAATATAAGAATGTCCGAACAAGTGTGTGGCGAATATTCAAAACGAACAAATCAATAGACAGTCTTAACATGATTGGCTAATTATAATGGAATATCGATCCATATATACATGCAAAATATATCAGAGTGTCAAACAAAACACACATATTATATGGATATATATCAGTGTGCGACTAGGAACTCCAGCCCATAACAACGATAGCACGGCTACTGAAACTTGAAAGCATCAAACCCCCAGTCTTATGTTCCACTCAGAACGCAAAAGAATGGAAAAGGTTATTCCTTGGAAAAATATTACATTCAGAATACTTTGGAGGTAGCAATATCTGTCTATTCCTTGAAACATTCTTGATAATAAAGAATGTATAATAAATGATCGTAAAACTGTCCTTTACATAATGCGTAGAACACATATGCAACACTGACGTCGCATTGTAATAAAACAGAGTGAGTAGTAGGTGTACAGTTCATCAAAGTATTCACGCATTGATTTTATTTGTTCCACGGTAATATCCAGTATATGTTTCCACCTGTTTCACTCAACTCTTCAGTCAGAAGTACTTGTATAGTAAAACTTCCCAAGGAACTATGGAGTAACAGAGGTTCTGAAGGTTTAAAATGCAACATATTTTACTAAATGGCACTTCAAGCAGTTTGTCTGTAATTTATTAATACGCATGTCTTACTCGGTCACAGAGTTCTGTTAGTCTGATGGCTATTCATCATCAATATATATACATTCTATTATTTTAGCGTTTTTTTAACTGCAGTCTAATAGATTAGGCATTTACTGACATATTCCTATAAGCCTATGTCTGTACAATTGACATGCATTACCTGAGGTAGTTTTATGAATTAAACTCTTTGTATTCTATTACTCAATAATCACTTGATTGATCAAATGGTTTTATTTTATTCAATGCTTATTCTCCTAGGAACACCATAAACGTCCAATATCCAAAGATACTTGGGATCTACTCCTAGACTTTGTTGAAACAATCTATCCAAATATGTCAAATTATGATGAAGAAGGTAAGTAAAAGGGTTTGTGTTGCAGCATTCATGTATTTATGATATTTTCCTTAGCTCATGTCATGTATGACATATTGGGTGTGTGTGATGACAACCCTTGTGAATTTATGTGCGATGAATTAATACCTTTTCAGTAGGAAAACTTCACGCCGATCAATATCAATTCTTAGGTTACTGGTTCTCTTATTACATTGTCAGTCATTATACTATATTTATATATATCAGTATTCTGTGGACGTAAGTTATTTTATGTGGTATCTATCGTAAACAGAAGAACCACTAGAAACCAAGTGAGTAATGATGGTGAATAGCTGTTTGTCTCAGTTGGGATTACGTGTTAAGTTTGTGTGCGAACACAGTAACAATTCATCATTGAATCAGAATCCAGTAGTAATAGTCTGTGTGCTTCGTAAATTTTGCTAATTTATGACACATACATGGTGATGAAAACATGAGTTCTGTCATCTGTGTATTTAAAAAAGGAACAAGAACTGTATACCCTATTTTATTAGTTTTTTTAAAACCCGAATATTCTATTAAAATGTCGTATAATAAAGTGTTAGAGAAGAAAAAGAGAAAAATACAAACTTTGTTTCAGTGTATCAAAACCACCATCCGAATTTTTCTTGTAGATTCACTTAATAATAATCAACCTCAAAGAAAACACGAAGCACTAGTTCTTGAAACTAATCACAGAAAACATTATCAAGGTGAATTTATCTTATTCTGTCATTGCTGTCACACACACACACTCAGTAAAGCGCTAAGGAAATTGTTCAGAGTATTTAGGCATTCAAACCTAATTGGTGTTTGAATTGTTTTTGTCTGTGCGTCGGTGGCACAGTGGTTAGAACTATTGCCGACCATGCACATGGTCCGGCGTTCGATCCCCTGCCGACGCACACCTGATATCTCTATGGTCAGCCTGCAAAATTTGGGCTACCGATACCACATGCTGAAAATTCCATACTTGTACCAAAAATACAGTGTGGAATCAAGCTGTAATCAAAAATAACTACAATTAAATTAAGATCTTGTATGTGTGTGTGTGAATGAATACAATTCAACTTCAACCACTATTCCATCCATACTGTAGTTTAGACAGTCAAGGTTGTATTTATGACATACAATAGTAGTTACGGGCCTGTTTTTGGAATGTATGCTGAATGTGTAAATTGGTTCGCAAGTTTTATATTCATAGAAATTGAAAGAGTTTGATAGTATGAACAATAGGTTAGTTAATTCATACTTCAAGCAAATGGAACATTTTCGATGTTTATAAGTTAGTCAGTTAGTTAGTCAGTCAACTTTGAAACTGTTCTTGTCGATCAGTTGTGTCTATTATTTATCGCTTTTATGAACTAACATAAGTTGATATCTTTTAAACAATCATGTGTACTCTTTGTTAGCTATTGTAAATTAAGAAGTGGATATTGTTCATCTGATTATTACGTACATTTTTTCTCTGTCGATTTTATTCATATCAATGGTGTGTAATTCATTCTTCACTTAGCTTATTTAAAAGATGTCGATATTACCAATAGAATTTCCCGCCAATCAGACACATATGGTCCGGGTTCGAATCCCGGCCAACGCACTCACAAATCTATCTTAGCAGGGGAGGTTAGGCGTCAGGTTGGTAGCCGCGCCCTGTCTCTCAAAAGGAAACATCACCGTTAGTGAAAATCCAAAGCTTAAACTGTGAGGTTGTGTGTTCTCCTCGGGACACAAAGGAATGAAGAAAACTTATCAGCATTGAAAATAATGCTGCCTTTTATTTATCAAAAATTGATCAGAGGTGGTGGTAGTAAGGCTGATTAACTTGTTTTAAATAAACAGTCAGTCTCTTGTCTTCTTTGTCTAGTTTGGTGAGAAAGGCTAAACGCTCAGACATAGTCGTTCTAGCTGGTGACTTTAACGCTCAAGTAGGGAAATTGTGTCAATCTGAGAAGGATGTCGGTGGCACCTATGGAGTCCCGTGCCAGCGAACCGACAACGGTGACCGTCTCCTACAGTTCTGCTCTGATAATCATTTGTTTCTTGTAAGCACTAACTTCAAACACAAGGAGAGACACTGTTTGACTTGGAGACCCCCTTCATCAAACCAACGCTGGACACAAATAGACCACATAGCAATAAGCTATCGTTGGCGTGGGTCGGTAGGAGATTGTCGCTCCTTCTGGAACACGTGCGTAGATACCGACCATGCACTGGTCCGCGCTCGGGTGTGCTTACGACTGAACGGACGTAGGAAACAGCTGGCGGTAAAACCATCACGTCCCCAGCTCGATCAGGAAACTAAATCCGTATTTGAGGAAGAACTAGCTAAACACATATCTGTGTTCGACAGCTGTGCTCACCCTGAAGAAGCTTGGAAAAATATCCAGGCAGCCATAGATACAGCTGTAAAAGCTGTGAATAAGGTAAACCCAAAGGTGAGTAAAAACCACTGGATCTCCACCGCCTCATCCGAACTGATAGATGCTAGAAGACTTATTCCGGCGAGCTCCGAATTCAATGAGGAGCGAAAGCTGCACAAGAGGAAACTTACGAAAAGTCTCCGCAAGGACCGTGAACAGTGGTGGGCGACAAAAGCCAAAGAGATGGAGAAAGCTTGAGGATAGGCAACACCAGGCAACTCTTTGGACTCATCAGGGAAACGGGTGGGAGAAGACAAATCATTAGTGAGACAATCTCGGAAAAAAATGGCACTATAATTAGCTCACAGGATAGACGACTGGATCGTTGGAAAGAGCATTATGAGGAGCAGTTTAATTTGCCCACAGCCACGCTCAACCTTCCGAGCATCCAACACCTCCCTGAATGGGATATAGATACAGGTCCTCCGTCACTAACTGAGGTTACTAAAGCTGTCACCAATCTGAAACTAGGCAAAGCAGCGGGACCTGATGGAATGACGCCAGAGGTATTTAAGTACGGTGGAGACAGCTTACTGTCCGGATTAACTGAGGTACTAGGCAGCGTTTGGGAATCAGAAGAAGTCCCATCGGGTTGGTGTAAGTCACTGATTATCCCCATATACAAGAAGGGAGACAAGTCTTCCTGTGATAATCACAGAGGGATTAGCTTGACTAATATAGTATCTAAAGTCTTAGGCTCAATAATCATGCGTAGACTGAGTGGTGCTCGGGAAGCACAAACACGAGAGAGCCAGGCAGGCTTTAGACCAGGAAGAGGGTGTATTGATCATATCTTCACCCTCCGACAGATTCTAGAACATAGGCATTCCTACCGGCGTCCAACAGTCATTATATTTCTTGACCTAAAGGCAGCATTCGACTCTGTCGATCGGGAAGTTCTCTGGAGATGCTTGGCTGTAAAGGGAATTCCAAGAAAATATATTGCACTGATTAAGGCACTCTATTCGTACTCATACAGCCAGGTGAGGGCTTACGGCGAGCTGTCATCTGAACTGATGACGACCAGTGGTGTCCGTCAAGGATGCCCATTATCTCCTTTTCTATTCAACTTCATCATAGATGTGTTAATGGACTTAACCCTAGGTGACTTCAGCGACTCAGGGATTGACTTGCTACCGGGGAATAATCTCGTTGACTTGGAATATGCAGACGATATAGTCCTTCTAGGCGAAGACGCTGACGAAATGCAGAGTCTTCTAAACACCTTGAGCCGCAATCTACGAATGTTTGGCATGCGATTCGCTCCCGCCAAATGCAAGATGATGTTACAGGACTGGACTACATCGACGCCTAGTTTAAAAATAGGAAGTGAAGTGGTAGAGCACGTTGACCGCTTCACTTATTTGGGAAGTACCATCAGCCCCAACGGGCTGATCTCTGACGAAATCTCAGCACGAATACAAGGGGCTCGTTTCGCATTTGTTAGTTTACGCCGACTCTGGCGTAGACGAGATGTTCGACTATCGACCAAAGGGCGGGTGTACTGCTCATCAGTCCGCTCCGTCCTCCTTTATGGTTGTGAGACCTGGCCACTGAGAGTGGAAGACATGAAAAGACTAGCTGTCTTTGATCATAGGTGCCTGCGTTCTATTTCCCGTGTAAAGTGGCATAATAAGGTGAGCAACATGGAGGTTAGGCGTAGAGTTCTAGGTAAACAGGGGAAATCAATCGACGAAGTCGTGAAGCTACAAAGACTGAGATGGTTAGGACATGTGTTACGTATGCCAAGCCATCGCCTCCCTCGACGAGCTGTGTTAGCGGATATAGGGTCAGGCTGGAAAAAAGCTAGCGGCGGTCAAACAAAAACTTGGCATCAGTCAATGAAATCCACAACAGTTGGTCTAAGCCACGTAGGAAGGTGTAGACTTCCAGGCTGGGGTCCTCGGGACGGTAAAAATCTATGGTTGGAAACAATTGGTGACATGGCTCAAAATCGTTCTCAGTGGCGCAGATGCATCCACTCCCTGTGACTTATGATCTTCAATGAAACTGTTTTGTATTTCTTTATTACTCCTTTGTCTCACACCTCTGCTCACTGTTTCTATTATGCTTTTCTTGTACTTTCTTCTCTTGCTTCGCGTGCTACACGGAATGTGGCGACTTGAACTTCCGCACATTTGTGCAAAGTTCTATGTCGAAAACAGACAGACAGACAGACTTCTTTGTCTTTATTAACACTGTTCAATCTGACGTTGATTAAGTATGACAGTTTCCATCACTAAGATGAAATGCATCTAGTTGTTAGATGGAACTATTCTGCAGTAGAGAACAACAACATTTATAATATAGTCTCTGATTAAAAGTATTTCTTCGATGTGGAGCAGTGGCTCCATTGGCCTCGGCTTCCAACTAACCGGGCCACTGGTTCGAACCCCATTCCACCTAACCAGGTTTGGGTAGTCAGGTAATATCACTAGCCCGCAAACACACAGTAAGTGTGACACGTTACCAACTGGATGGAATTGCAAGTGGTTATTGAGTAACACAAGCCTCTACTAGTATAGTTGGTTAGTCACTAAATTGGTGTCGAATGTAAACATATATACTGGATGTGAGTTTCCTATCAGACTACACGTCTGCTAGTGTGTTTATTCACCTATTTTGTATAATATTTCAAGACCAAAGTGTATTAAGAAAAGAATAATGTAACGACATTCGAATGTAGTTACATCTCAAGCTGCTGGTGTCACTTACCTACCCATTTGCTTCACCTAGACATTATCCGCTGACGAAGATAGTATCCAACAAAATCAGTTACACCATTGATGAAATCCTCCACTTCACATGGGACCATGCTTCTACTTTAAATTTTCTGTTGTTGTTTTTTTCTGTATTCGCAGGTGCCTGGCCAGTATTGATTGATGAATTTGTCGAATGGGCGAAACCACAAGTTCAAACAAGTACGCAAACAGCTACCAACCCCTCGTGATCTGTGTTCATATGACTTCAAATTGATATATACACCTATATAAATATAAATACTTATTATTCTTTTTTGTGAAATGTGCAGCTATTTTAACTTCACAGCATATTTTTGAATTAGAATACTTGTAAAGTCCTTGTTTATTATCCTACCTTCCTCTCTTCCTTAAGTTGCCTTTATTTGTGCCAGGTTTTACTCCCTTTTTAGTGAATCTAACAGACCATTCAATCATTAGGGGGAGGGAATAGCTCACTTTCTTTTTTTTTAAGTGTGTGATCTATTCTTGTCTGTTTTACAATTTTCCTCATGACCATCAAAATCTTTCAGTGTTATTCAAATACCGGTGAATTTGAAATAAATTCACAGTAGAATATTCATTCTTTCAGTGTAACTCAATCATAGGTCACATCGCCTTCCAATTGTTTACTTCCCTTATGCTGTTAAGGATTTTAAACCAATTATTAACTAACACGTTGTTGCTCCTTTCTCTTTAAAAATTTACTTACACTTGGTAACTAGCAGTGATAACAATGTATTAACAATAAACATATTCTCTAAGCTACTTTATCTTACCAGTTATCCCATCCCTCCCCTACGCGCGCACACACACGCAAACACCAGATATACTGACTTTGTATCTAATATTTTTAACACTTCATAATAGTGTACATTGGAAATGCATGTAGCTTGCAGTTAGTCATATGGTATCTCTCAAGCTGTAGTGTTTTTTTTTGTAAGACTGCAGCAGTCAATCCCATCTGTTAGAAAAATTCCACTATCACTTGTAGTGGCACTTCTTCCCCCAAGTTTATCTTGCTACAGTTCTTACTGTCGGTATATTGTACTTAATCTTGTTTTGTAGTTAGTGGTTTAATTTATGCCTTTTAATGCCTGTGAATGTGTATTACACAACTGTATTCAATTTTGTTGCCATGTGTATCTCTTTCTCCCCATTATTTTGTTTGTATTCTAGTAGGAAGAAAATGTGACATTTCGATTTACTCACTTTGCCCTTCTTTCCTGTTATGGTAATGAATAAATGTCATAATATAATTTGTGGTCACTATTTATTTTTTAAAGCTTAGATCTGTGATCTTACCTCATCATTTAAGAAGTTCATTGCGTCTCGCGATACTATTTATAAACAGTCTTAGGTGAAGTTGACTGAGGGATGGTTATTACTGCTTAATCGCACGACTTGCAACTATCCAACAAATACTTCTGAAGATGGCGTCGTAAACTCGGTGATCAAAAGTAACTAGATCAAACACCATCTTATGCTTTAAGTGTTCACCAGCATATAAAATGTTTCCTTTTGTTCTGATTATAGTTCTTCGTCTCACTATCTCTTTGTCTTAACATCACCATCGCTTATTTATGTCAAAGTGGACTTAGACGCGATTCATGTCATCCAAAACACTGGAGTATCTCTTCATTACGCATTTTTTGGTCGGAAACTTTAAATTATTCCTGCTGTCACTTTCCGGCTGGTGAAATCAAATAACTGCCTATCTTTTATTCAGTTCCTACAACTGACCTGTGTAGTTCCTACTTACCTAGTGTTGTATCACGATTTTTTCATACAGACCCATCAGAACAGCACGGGTACTGATGAAAAAGTCGCCGTGGTGCGAACGAGAAAGTATCGACTTCATTGGACACCTTTTAGTGGCGCGAGACATATACTTAAGGACCTGACCACCACTACACGGTTTAGTCCGAACCATGATTAAACGTCACTGACAAAAATACAACCCAGAGAAGACTTACGGCACCATAAGCAAACATATTCGTTCAAGTACTTATATGCAGTACTTCAACAGTTTCACAATTGTAATATGTGGGACCTGAAGAAGTCCCCTAGTTGCATTGCTTGTCAGATTGTATCTAGGCTTGCAGATTTAATGCAGTTAGTGAAAGGCAAACTGTATATTCACCCTTTAACAGAAACCACTAGCAATCGTTCTTCTTGTCTACCTTCATGTACTATTTGGAACGTGGCAACTCGAACTGCCGCACTTCGGTGCCCAGTTCTGTGTTGAATCCAGACAGACTAGCAATCATACAGGTTCTACATGCTGATCGAGTTGCGATTTATCCTTCACTAGTAGGTGCGCGCTTCTTACAAACTGAAATCAAAGTTAAGAACTGGCAAATTCAAATATTATCAACTGTACTCACTGAGAGCTGAGTCTCTTGACCTATACAAAGACTAAGTATAACAGCCAGGAACCACAAATCATTGGATAAGGGAACTACATACTTATCAGAAGTTGAGCAATCTGTCAAGTGTGATCTACAGGATCTAATCAATGCTATTAGACCTTTGATGGGCAGGATGCGCCAACATCTCACAGAAACAAATACAGATCTAGAAGTCTTGGGCGGCCGATCTGCACATCACGGGCATTGTCTAAAACCACGCCCTTGGTAGAAAGTAGTGCTGGGAAATTCCCTGGAAATGGAAATCGCAGTAAGACAAAGCAAACTTAAAACGTAGGTTTTGAAACCCACTCACTAAAACCTGACTATATTTCCTAAAGCTAATCAAACTAGTGGAGGATGGTGACATTTCCAAAGATAGGTAGTCACTATTTCCATCAATTACAGGTGGCGTCTTGCAACAATGTTGTGGTTCAAGTCGTATAAACAACTCCTCGGCAGTAGTCTGTACTATTATGCCTTCAAAGCCCAGACAAATAATCCCTACAGGCTACGATTCTGTTCGCGTTTTGACAATGACTGGTCCCAACTTTTGTTGTCTGCACCAAGGAAAGTCAAAACGTTGACAGAACTCGTTTAGCTGGCGTAAATATGTTATACATGATACGGCACAGGAAACAAGATTATATACACTCACGCGGAGATACAATGGTGCATACGTCAGCAAATGCTTTTTAGGGCTTTCGGAGCCGAGTCTCGTGTAGTTCACATCTACAAAATAAATGTTACCAATGTCCGTTTGTAGACAACGCAGCTACCAGCAAGATGAATACCTCACCAGAGCGGAAGGATGAGCGTCAGTGCTGTGGAATACAGAACGACGAATCTCCCTCACTGCAGTCTTTACTACCCGCTGGGACCGTTGCATATTATGGCGACGTTCCCGGCCGATAACTGCCACCTTGTCGTGGTGGTCGGGCCTGAATACCGTAGTGACCCAATATGCTAAACTGACTGGGACTCTGTCCCTGCAGGTCCTAACACGTCAGGAAGGTTGTTTGGATAGCGGTTAAACTAAAAGCAGTTACCATGGGCTCCAGCATCCAATCGGATTAAATGGCGTATGAACCCACATGGGTCGCCGGCAACCATGGGAACGCAGCTCCGCTGCCTTGCGGATTAGACTCCAAGTCAAAGGCTAGAATGGGGTTGGTCCCTCAAGTAAACCACCTGCTTCGGTCTGGGGGCCCTGGTAGTATCTCAGCCCTCACACAATCAATTGAATAAAGCAACTAACAATCAATGAAATTTATCGCGTGCTATTACACGTGTTGCAATTTCCTTCTTTCTTCCCTTCCCGATGATAGTTAACGAATACTGTTTGAACTTGTTAAGCATGACTGTCTTCCTTCCTGATGAAGTTCTTTATCCGTTCTCTACTTATATATATATATATATATATATATATATATATATATATATACATTTCTCTTCTTTCTTCTGATCTGGTTTTATTATTATTGTGTGGCGTATCCCTCTTGGTGCCATAATGCACCAAGTTTTTATGCGCTTAAATAAATACGGCCACGTTGTAGGTACATCAATTGTGTTAAATAAAATCAATGCCTGGCTGAGACTACAATTTACACAGATAAGGAAGTAATACACACCGCAGTACACAACTCTAAGTCAACACAGTACTAACTGACCTACTGTCACGCCAAGGACAACGAGAATACGTTCTCTCCCTAATAAACTTACCTATATATAATCCAGTTACGACACAGTACGACTAAATTCGCTAAGGACATGTATCAATCCATATTTTGAGAGCTTTCGACGTTGCACATAATCCAGCAATTGATATGTCCTACCATATTCATCTATGAGATATGTGGCAGCGTCAAGAACCTTACATCGGAGGATAAGTTTTTAAGAATAAGCAATGCACTCAGCAGACCTGTTCGGCCCTACTATACGGGCATTTCTCTTGCATTTTTTTATAGATTCACATCACTGCTCATCTATAAAAGTAATCACACCCAAGCTTACTATAATGCTGAATTAATTCTTCATAATTCTGAACTCCGACAACCTATAATGAGTAAATTCTGAAAATGTTTGATAATACGCAGACTAGGACTCAGTGCTGATTTTCAGCAGGACTGGCACTAATTTAACACCCTGTGCTTATTCTAGGCATTTTCAGAACCTAGTGGATTCGCTAATCAGTTATTTCCGCACTCTCAACAGTTTCAGCACTGACTGGCACTTCTGATCGAAAGGACTTTGTGCAGCGCATAGTGGGAATATTTTCGAGTTTATTTCAGCACCAAAGTTATTATACTCCAGCAACAAATTCTATTTGTTTCGTTGCCTTTTATAAGCGTACAGTACTCTTTATAGAAACGACCACGCTCAATTTAGGTTTGTAAAATAGCCATAACCATTAAAAGGCATTATCCATGCATAGGTTAGAATTAACTTAGAGATACTGCAAGCTTGAGGTCAGCTGGCTCATCAGGGTTGATCACGGCCAGTTATTATAAAAGAGCTAACCAGATTTCTCAAACGGCGCTCACAAGGCGAACATAACAAGTAAATTTTGTTTGGAGGATCCCTAGTTGTTTGCCGAGACTGACACACAGCAACAGCAGTGTAAATCACTCAAACTACATATCCCGTTTACAACACCCAAGGCAGTTGATGCATGTTGCTTCCTCACCAACAAACGTAAGCCTAACTGGCGGCCAGAACCTAGCTAAGAAACCTTACAAGTATATTAGGAAACATAGACAAGTTTTGACCTACAAATGCATTCAGTATAGACTCAACAGCCATTCATTTAAAAAGCGGTAACAATTTCACGAATCGCATCATATATTTTCACATGTACAGCTTATGTTTCATGTGTATCTCTCAAACGTCTGATGGCAGCCCGGATAGTAGCAGCAGCAGTTGTACTAAAGTAATGGTGGTTAGCACCTGAGAATATAGCAACATACCTGCAGACGTAAGCACCTCCAGCTAGAACTTTTTTGCAAGCTTTACATTCCCAAATACCAACGGCTTTCCTTTTCAGTGAATCCTAGGAGATTAGATAGGGGTAGAGTTTTCACATACCTTCCCACAAAAATGGCAGTTGTACTTGGAGTGCTGACTAACTTCGAGCTTCTTGATTGTTTTTCTGAGAGAAGCACCATACCGAACACCGTACTTCCCAACGATACCAACCTTTTTCGTTCTCTTGGCCTGGAAATAAACATCAAAGCCAATAACATGAAACACCAACCATTGGAACACGCGAAAACTCCAACTAACCGCCAAACGATCTCTTCAACGCCTTTAGTGTTCAGCCATATTCAATGTACAATTGCTAGGAAGACGAAATCCTTAATAAAATTAACTGTGCCATTTCCAAATAATCTAACTAGGGAAAATAGTACTGCCGTAAAAATCATTAACTTCTTTCAGAAATCATTCAGTTAACATATACATTATGTGAATAGATATAACATGACTTTTAAGAGGATACAGTTGCTATGGTCAAATTACAAGGTTATAAAAATTCCCTGAATAAACGAGTTGACACTAAGAGCTTGGAGGTGGTCAACTGATGCCGAAAATTTAATTTATGAGGGCGAAAATAACGTAGGAGAATATAAGTGAGATCGAATGGAATAAACTGAAAAAAAGGGAAAACACTACTTGGGCGAGAGCAGGTAAGAGGCTATACAATCATAAATCCATTTATTCAGGCACACAATAGTCAGCAAAGGCAAATCATAAGCATGTCAGAAGTGTATTTTTGGACAAGTATAAGATGGGATAGAACAATTGTCGGTTAATTTTGAATATGCTTGGACAGTGAAAACATGAGATAAAATGAGTTGAAATAATTTTATGCATCTATATAAACATATACATACAGAAACTAAATCGCTTCGGTTTCAGTGACCTGACTGAAGTAGGCATCCAGAAGGTGAAGACTTTGTCACCTTTCATCAAGCGAATCGAGGTGTTCATCTACATCTTCCCGAGGGAACATGGCTGAAACACCAAATATAATTAGTTTCATAGGAGCATATGAGATAGTACACGCGTGTATATGTGGAAAAATCTGTAGTTTATCTTCCATGTCGAATAATACTTTGATTTTAGAGTATCAGGTGGCCATCAGAGACATAAAAAGAAGTTTTGATATGTCTGGATAGACGGCTTCTGAAAGCCTCCTCTAACACTATGGATTTGCCAGCAGTGACGCTTCTTCATGATTCTTTCATAAAGCTACTTGAAAGATAATTGTTTCAGAAGGTTATCAGAAGTCATTCAAGGTCTGTCATTCGTAACTTTAAGACACATTTCCAAAATTGTAAACATAGGGCATGGATATGATCCCTGTTTCCGTTGACGGTACCGCAATGTTGGAGTTGGTATGTTGCCGAGTAAAATACGGCTTTTGATAGGGTGACATCTTAAACGATGCATTACCATTCCTGTTTAACATAATGCTGAAGGAGGAACGAAGTATTTCATCCTCCTTCAGAAGGGAAAATTGTAAACGTGTGATTTTCATGTAGTTGTGTTCTCTGAGCTGGACGGTTTATTTGCAAAGCTCACCGCCCACCTTAGCTGCGAATCTTCTCTACTATATCTAAATATGTGATAACAGTTAAATTGCCTGAAGAGATAAACAGGATTACACACTTCATCACAAGTGATAAATGCGTCATCCAAGTTCAGGCTAGAGACGATGTTTTCAGTGGACCGTTAGTTAAGATCTTCAAGAACATATAAGCTGGGAGGGTTCTTATAGGAGAGCTCGAGGAAACTCCATCCACTTAACTTTAAATCACATTGCTGGATCCCAATCTCATATCAGGCATACATCTATAAACTTTTTAAGGTGGAAACTGAAATTAGTCAAATCCGAGGATGTACAAGAAGAAAGGCTTCGAAAATTTATTCATTTCTGTAGTTCGATCTCCGGCCGACCAGTGGTCCGCCTGCTAAATATGGGCCACCGATATCACATGCTGAAAATTCCATTATAATTATTGCTCCCTTGGGTTCCTAGTGCAGCATAGGGCTTCAGCCGCACGTCTCCACTTGCTTCTGTCTTCTGCTGTACTTTTCACCTGCATCCATGTTATTGAGTACATACTGTTTCAACTCCTCTCTCTTCACGAGATTTCCTCCATGTCACCCTTGCACCGACGTCCCACTCGCCGCTTCCCTTTCGGCCTGGTTCCACTCGAGCAATGGCCTGACGCGCGCGCGATGTCACCCAGCGACCTCCTCATCGAGCGAGCGTCCAATTCATCTCCACTTTCTCCTGTATATTTGTTAGTTGGCGGTTGGTTCTTGTTTTGTTTGTTCCCATAGTTTCTTGTTGGTGATTCTTTCCGGCCCGGCCACCTGATCTTCGGTATAGAGCCAGCGAAGACAGTTGTTGATAATGGTCTGCAACAGGCTGCTGAAAATATTCTTTGTGACCCGCCCGTCAAGTTTCTGATCCGTATAGAAGAACTGATTTTACGTTTGTATTGAAAATCCTACCGAATTTTGTTGTTGATGCTGGCTGAGTGACGAAGATTTCCAGATTGGTTTCAGGTTGATGAATGTGTTTCTCGCCTTCCCGATTCTCACTCGATTTGTCACCCTCGTCCGTTCCGACTGCCTGTAGTTGAGACAATGCTCCCTCCCTAGATAAGTGAATGAAGTAACCTCTTTCAAATCCCTCTCGTTGATGGTGATTGGCGCTGGATGTTGCTGCTGCTGTTGTTGTGGTTGTTGGTTGGTTATTTTCATCACCTCCATCCTGTCTATGTTCACTTGGATTCCTCTCTTTGCCGGCTGCTCCTTCGACCAGTTTTTCGGTTTTCTTTTGTGACATTAAAACATAAATCACCCATGCGCGAAATCCAGGTCTTCTAGGTTCTTCACGTCGATCTAGGATATCCCTGTCTTCTCGTTTCCCACTGTCTGACGCATAATCCAGTCAGTCCACCACAATCAGGAATATCATTGGTGATAATAAGCACCCTTGTCTAACTCCTGTGTTTACTCCAAACGCCTCGCTGAGTTTACCGTTGTGGATCACTTGACATGTGCCGTTGTCGTACATCTGTTGAATAAGGTTGATGAATATTTGGGGTACGCCGTAGTACGCGAGTAGTTTCCAAATTACTTCGCGATCAACGCTATCGAAGACCTCCCCAAATTCTATAAAGTTGAGGTAGAGGTTTAATTGTCATTCCATGCTTTGTTCTGTGATGATGATGCGTAGAGCTGCAATCTGGTCAGTACATGATTTGCCTGACTTTCCTGAATCCAGCTTGTTCTAGTCGGAGTTCTGTCTCCAGTGCGTCTGTCAGCCACGTCTCGTAAACCGTCAATGCCCAGCTCTTGCTACACTGGGACTCACGCTGTTCCTTGAAGTTTCTCAGAAACGCTTAGCAATAACAGACGCAAAACCAAAACACCGATTTGCTACTCGAGAGTTCTTTATTGTAACACCAATATATAGGCAGCTTTAAAATTAAGCTTTAACTAAGGTTTTCTGACAGTTTCGGCCTGACTTCTTCTGAACAGCGACCGATGAGACGATAACTGGTGTATCGATGTCTCCGCGAAAATATAGGGAAGTTGGATTTGAGCAAACAACCATGAATTGATCGTTCAATCTTCAACTACATTGACAGCGTCCTTTATTCTCTCCAGCATGATGCGACTCAGAATTTTACTTGGCGTTGACAGGAGCATTATTCCTCGCCAGTTCTTGCAGAGTCAGGCGTAAGTCTCCCTACTTTGGCAGTTTCAATAGGTAATATTTCCTCTAGTCAGTGGGCACCTTCCCCTCCTTCCAGACCTTTTGCAATAATGCAGTCAGCATGTCTGTTGTGATCTCTGGGTCCGCTTTCAGTGCTTCAGGGAGTATTCCATCTGGTCCAGCTGTTTTTCCAGCTTTAAGAAGCCTGATTGCATTCAAGACTTCACCTCTCGTTGGAGGATTGGTGTCAAATTGCAGTTGTGTGCGCGCTGTTGTTGGTACTTCTGGACGGGTTTCAAGTGATGGTCGGTTCAAGAGTCCTTTGAAGTGATCCGGCCATTGTGTAATCTGATTTTCTTCCTTAAAATTCCATAGGTGCACTAAAATACGGCGTTGAATCAAGGTATAATAAAATTAAATTAATATAGACAAACGACAGCCAACTTTGGTCAAGACTTGATTCTCACCAAATGCGAAATCAGTTGCAGACTAGTGCTCACTGGAAGACACTAGGCTGTCATCCACACAAATTCACACATGGACTGTAAAAGCTGAGAGAGTCTTGTTTTAGGAAAATTAGTGCAAAGTAGAGAAGTGAGACCACGCGAGTTAACTGCCACCATTAGTTCCGACAAGTGTCACAGATCAAGGAATCAGTAGGTAGTGTGGCCATAGCTCAGTTCTAGCAGGATAGATGGCCTGAGTAACAGCTGTAAGCGCCATTTTTGGTTGAAGTCAATCGGAAACTAGATCGAAGTAACCCAAGCAGCCTAACAAGCGTCTCAGACACTAAGCAACTGGATATACTCAAGACTACCCTTCGGAAGTCGTTCATTTAACCCTCCAAGTGACCTCTTTGGTCAATGCAAGAGCTGGTGGTGGAATTCTTTGAGCCATCAGGGGTAAGTACTCTAGGAACATTGCTCAAGGTGAACTTGTGGCCTTTCTTAAGTGTAAAAGACTGAGTCCCACCTCCTCATCTACGAGGGCTGCTCATTTGCGTGAGTTCTCAAGCATAGACATAATTGACTGACTATGTGGCCTCTTTCACTCATTGTGCAAAGCCCTTTATCCACCCTAGTAGACATATTAAATACACAAAATGCGGACGGTTATGTAGAATGAGTTTTCTTACTAGTGCTCCTTCAGCTATTAGTCGCTGACTCTCCAAATCTGGTAGGAAAGGTACTGTGGTGAGCAGAAACACGCCATTACTTCAGAAAATGTAGGCCCACAAATATTTTCTTCATTGTCTTCTACGGTTTTTCTTCATTCGGTCTACAATATAAATGGCAGTTTTGCTGTTGTGCGCCTGGGAATTTCTATCTGAAGAATAATCCATTTATTCTTGAGCTATCGGGGAATGTTCAAATCTAGTAGCATGGTTTGACATAGCTTCAGTATTGCTACGCTTTACCTTCGGACATTCCGGCAAACCCAGCGGAAAATCCCAACTAATTTCATACGTCTTTTCAAAAAACAGCTTCAGTATATCGCTTGCTATAGGACGACTCAAAGACGACTGATGTATTATTCTATGACCATTTCGGCCTTACAGTTACAATAATTCAACGAACGCAGAGAA